CAATATGGTAGTAATATTACAACGGGGTTAAATGTGTGTTAGATTAACTCACGTAAATGACGTTTGCAACCACCACCACAGTTTTTTACTCCCTTTTTAACAATGCAGGGTTGACAATGAAGTGTCTCAGTGTGTCTCAACTAACTAGCTGGCTAATTTCCACGGAGCTTCTGAGGATTGTGCTCACGGCTCTGGAAAATAAACCATTAAGCATCTGTTGTGAACAGCCAGTTTGACTGACATGGGAGCTGAAATGAAAAGGGAGCGTTTTCCCATTCAGCCTTGCATCTCGTAAAATGAAGCGTCGTACTGCACAGCTTATCGTACCAACAGTTGAGTTTCAAACAACATACACACCTAGGTTTAATAAGGTGAACTGAGTGAGCTAAAATACAATTAAATCTTTCCAGGAGTCAGACATTTGTTTTATAGTTGTAATGGCTTGTCTTTTCTGTATTTGTACTCTTTTTTTTTAAAACCTTTTAGTTCAACTGGATTGATACACAAGGCTGATGTCTATTCCCTTTCTGTAATTTTTGCTTTATGTTTTGGCTCCTTTATTTATTTATATTAAATTATCATGTACTATTGCTATTTGTCCCTTTATCTCAAATAGGTATATACACTGGTACCAGACTGCAGAGCAGCTTTTTTCCCCAAGCTATGAGACTTTTAAACTCAAATTCATCCTCAGCACTGCTCCACTAAATAGTTTTTTTATTTCTGTTTACCACTTTTGTAATTGCTTTTATATTGCTGCATATTGTCTGCTATGTAGCAGAAGGAACTCAATTTCACTTTACAACCTGTTGTATTGTGACAAATTAACCTTCCTTGTACCGTGTACTACATACTGAAAGAATTAGTGGTTGGACCCCAAGGTGTGGGTGGGTTACTGTAATATTACTTTTCCCAGTAAATAGTAGTGTGACGGTAATATTATTACATTTACTAATCCAAGTAATGCTGCGTTACTGAACGCACCATTCTGACGTGATTGCGCGACTACACGGCAGGTCAGCAGCACCGGACATTATGTTGTTCAAGTTAGCTGTTAGCCAAAAAACAAATGGAAGACCGGACAACAAGGGAGAGAGTCGTTCTTTCCACAGCTGTAAGTAGCTGCTGCCATTATTGTGTCACAGTCTAAGATGCAAAGAACATTGTCGTCCGTTGTAAACTCTGTGCGACCAGCAAAAAGCTTTCGAGCGCAAACAATTCTACATCTGATTTATTGAAGCATCTGCTAAAGCAGCACAGCAATGTGGAACTCTGCTGCCAGTGATGCTTGGACTCATCGGGAGAAAATGGTGTTAAGCAAAGTGTAACGTTTTGTAAAAGCACTGAATACTGATCTTATAAATAAATGTGCAGAAAAACAGTAGTTCAAAAGTTTTTTTATTTATTTATTTATTTTATTTCAGCCAGCGCCGTTAAACCATATGTTTTGTAAAAAAACACTCTCCTCGCTGCTGCTATGAATACGCTATTAGTCATAAAGTGGGGAGAGACTGCTTTGTTTGGGCTGGTTGGGGGTGAAAGTAATATACGTAACGTAAAGAGTAACGTAACTATAATTGCTTTGATCACCATACTTTTTAAGGATCACTGGGTCAACCAGTCTGTGTATCACTAAGAGGAAAACAGAGAATGTGAGCAGGACATAGAAGCACTGCTGTGAATTGAACAGCTGGAGTGTCAGGTGTTTAATTTACCCTCCACTTAACCTTTTCCTCCTCTTCTCCTCACAGTGTCCCTCCTCCTGCCTCGCTCTAACAGACCTGTTTTACCCCCTGCTCTCTGTGTGTTTGTGTCATTACTCCTTGTTAGATTATGTTTGTGTTTAGCATGTTAGCATGGTATGTTATCCTTACCTGTCCTGAACGCCTTACATATTTTCCTACCACATTTTCAACAGATCTCGCTAGCGGGACACCAGTGGCCTGTCCTACGTTAACTGGCTTATCCAGGTAACCACAGGAGTAACTTTGTGATGTTGGGTGTAACATCCTGATAAACCCTTATCCCCGGAAGGTGGAGATCTCTATCTCTAAACTGCT